ACGATGCCCTAGAGAACCCTAAAGTATCCACCAAAAACTATTCAGAAATTGGTGGCATTTTTATATACTAATAACAAACTATCAGAAAGGGAAATAAAAACAATCCCATTTATTCAAAAATAATAAAATTCCTAGAAATAAATTTAACCAAGAAGCTAGAAGACCTGTACTTGGAAAACTGTTAAAACATTAATGAAAGAAGGTGAAGATACAAAATGGGAGCATATAACATGCTCATGGATGGGAAGAATTAATATTAAAATGCCTATACTACCCAAAGCAATCTACAAATTCAATGCAATCCCTAACAAAATACCAATGGCCTTTTCCCCAGAAGTAGAACAAATAATCCTAAAATTTATATAGAACCAAAAAAACACACAAACAGCCAAAGCAATCTTGGGAAAGAAGAACAAAGTGGAAGTTTCAAGCTCCCTGATTTCAAATAATACTATAAAACAGTATGGTCCTGGCATAAAAACAGACACACAGATCAGTGGAACAGAATAGAAAGCCCAAAAATAAATCTTCCCTTATATGGTCAATTAATCTACAAGAAAGGAGACAAGAATATAGAATGGAGAAATGACAGTCTCTTTAAGAAGTGGTATTGGGAAACCTGGACAGATAAATGCAAAAATTAAATTGTATCACTCTCTTACACCATATACAGAAATAAACTCAAAAAGGATTAAAGACTTAAATGTAAGGCCTGAAACCATGGACCTCCTAGAAGAAAACATAAGTAGTAAACTTCTTAATAACCACTCTTGGCAATATCTTTTGAATATGTCTCCTCAGACAAGGACAACAAAAGAAAAAATAAACAAATGGAACTACATCAATTGAAAAAGTTTTTGCACTGTGAAGGAAACCATCGACAAAATGAAAAGACAACCTACACTCAGGGAGAGGATATTTACCAATGATACAACCAATAATGGGTTAATATCCAAAATATATAAGGAACTCATACAACTTAATCCCCAAAACAAACAAAAAACAGTCCAGTTAATAAATGGGCAGAGGACCTGAATAAACATTTCTCCCAAAGGAACATACGGATGGCCAACAGACATGAGAAAACATGCTCAACATCATCAGGAAAATGAAAATTAAAACCACAATGATATAACACCTCACAATGGCTGTGAGAATGGCTAGCATCAAAAAATCAACAAACAAGGGCTGGTGAGGATGTGGAGAGAAGAGAACCCTCATACAGCACTGGTTGGATTGTGAATTAGTGCAGCCAATACGCGACAGTATGGAAAGTCCTCAATAAATTAAAACTGAGTTGCCATATGATCCAGCAATTCCGCTTTTGGGTATTTATCCAAACAAAACAAAAACACGAATTCAAAAAGATATAGTGTTCTTTTGGCAGTACATATACAAGAAGATATATGCACCCTTACATTCATTGTAGCATTACAAGAAATACCCAAGACATGGCAGCAATCTAGATGTCCACCAAAAGATTAATGGATAAAGATGTGGTATACATATACAATGGAAGATTATTTGGCAATAAAAAAGAACGCAATCTTGCCATTTACAACACATAGGTGGACTTAGAGAGTTATTATGCTAAGTGAAGCAGACAAATACCATATGATTTCACTTATATGTAGAATCTAAAACAAAACAAAACATGAATAAACAAAATAAACTATAAACAGACCCACAAATACAGAAAACAAGCTGATAGCTGCCAAAGGAGAGGGTGATAGGGGGATGGGAAAAAAAGGCAAAAAGAAAAAATCACTTGGTAGCTTATGGAGACTATGCTTCAGGGGTATAAGAATGGAAGCAGGAAGACTACGTAGGCTGCTATTGCCATAATATAGACTAGGCATAACAATGGCTGAACCAGAAAGGTACTCTGGAGAAGTAGTAAAATGGTCAGACTGGAGATACATTTTGAAGGCAGCGCCAACAAGTCTTTGTTATGGGATTAGTGAAAAAAGCAAAGCAAAAGATGTATTGACTATTCACATACTTCTGATACAGTTCAAAATATTTTTAACTCCATCTGTAACTTAAAATATTCAGCTTTAAAGGCATAAAAACTACTTATATTGGGACTAGACTGCAAAAAGAGACATCTCAAACTTAAGTGGCAATGTGTATTTAAAATTTAACAATTATTTTTATTTTATTAGGCATAAAATTTTATACCTGAAAATTTGTTTTCTTAATCAGTTCCTTATGTTTTTTCATGTATAATTTTTAAAAAAATTAATGAAGTAACAGTGCTAGAGACTCCAATTTTAAAAGGCTGGTGGCAATCTACTAGATGCTTAATAGATACTTGTTAAATAGAATAGTACAAAGAATCACTAACACACACACACAAACACAAAACACAAAACATAAAGGCTTTAAGCAACTCAAATGTTTTACTCAAAATAGAAGACTCCAAATGAAATTAAGTTATTTAAAAATAATGCATCTCAATATTAAGAACTAAAGTTATATAGTTCTAGATGCTAAGGACTAAGTACATAGTTTTACATAAGATGACTGTGAAAGACTACTAGTCTCAAATGATGTCATGCTAAACTATAATTATTCTTCACATAGCATGATTTTTAAATTATAGGATAACTTTAATTTTAAAAGCTAATAACTTTTAAATTTAAAATGACTTGAGTATTTTTTTAGCATAATTCTTTTTCCAAATCAGCTAAATAAGCATGAAAACTACCCTATAAAAGTAATATGTAATAATATATAGACTACAAAAGTAATAATATGTAGACTATATCTGTTCTACATATTCTTCTATACTCTGGAAACTTAGTGCATTCTAGCCTTTAAAAGCTAAGTAGTTTGAGAAAATTAGATACATACAGCTTAGCAAAACTATTCATTCTAAGCTTTTACTCAGAATATCTATCAAATTCTTTTAACAAAATTGACAAAAGACCATAATCCCTTTTTCACCACTACCTGAGTTGTTTTTAAAAAGTAAGTACCTGGCACAGATATAGAATCCTCTGCACACCTGTGACAACTGCTCTAATGACCTGAGGTCCAAATCACTAGACACCACCCATCGGAAGATGTACATTAGGACTTCCATTGGCAGCACTGCAAAAGAAAATCATCCTTTCAGTGACTCTCCTATAAGTCATTCTATTGTCACATTCTCAGCACAGATATCTTTATATATTCCTAGAAATTTATAAATCATACCTTCGGTACTGCTGACATACAGCACTAGTGTCTTTAACTATCCAAAGGTAATAATGGTTCCTAACATCAAGACACAAATATCTTTGTTTTTTTCAGTATAGAACAGATCTGAAGCTACTTTTATAAAGTAACTCTTTCTCTCAGAAAATCATTTACCACCAATATTAAAATAAGTATGTTAGAAAAGTAGTGTACTGCAGTGGTCCCCAACCTTTTTCGGCACTAGGGACTGGTGCTCTTATGAGAATCTAATGCCTGATGATAGGAGGTGGAGCTGAGGCGGTGATGTCAGCGCTGGGGAGCCACTGCAAATGCAGAGGAAGCTTCCCTTCCTCGCCTTCACCTCCAGCTATGCAGCCCAGTTCCTAACAGGCCATGGACCAGTACTCGTCCATGGCCTGGAGGTTGGGGGCCCCTGTTCTACTGTGTGTGTGTGTGTGATCCATACTGCATTTAACACTAAAAAGTTATTTTCGTCTTTCTTAAAAATTTCAATGGTCCTCTGAAAAGTCCTCTAACTAGCTAAACATCTAACATATAAAAAGAAAAAGTATTCATTTTTAAACATTTAGCCTATCTCAGCACTACTATCCAACCTGGCTGAAACACTTGATGTTACCAGTATTCCTCCAATTTTCTCAAGAATGTCCCAGTGACTCACCTTGAGATCTTCATGGAGAAAAAGTGTGGCATCCTTGAACTACGAACAAAAGTTTACACTACAAACTGCTCTACTTCAGACTTTGAAAAGCTTATTAGTATACACAAACAGTAATTATAACTAGATCTTCAACCATTTTTGAACTAGAGCAATAACTTGGCAAGTTATCTGACATTGTAGGTTTGGAAAAGTAAAATCTAAGGTTATTAAAGTATTTCTTATAGAGTTATAACAAGCATAAATTCACACCTGATATGTGAGTCTGACTGCTCTCAAGTTCAGGCTGACACAGTTTGAGCATAGACTCCTGAAATGTAAGCTGCTGCTGAAAGTAGGACAAGAGATCTGCCATCTTGCTATCATCGTCATTATCTTCAATGCTGAAAAAGAAGGGAGGTGAATAAACTAAGTGCCTCAGTCTACAAACATAAAGCTTAGAAATTGATTTTTCAAAGTATTTTCAAATCTTCTTTAGAAAAAGTCATCTAAAAGAAAACTTACTGCTTTTCTCTATGATGATAAAAGTTTACCCTGCCTTACAAAGGAGTACCACACGAAATCTTCTGAAGAAAAAAGCTTTAGCAATTTGAATTGTTACCCAGAAAAAAATCAGAATTTTGGGATAAAGGTGTTAAGATTTAATTAATTAGTTTTATTGTACGGATTTCATATTTTAGTGAAAAAGATAATTTCAAATTATTTTTTAAATTTTATGTAAATATATTCTTTTAAGTAACCATAATCCATTCTAATTGGATAAAAATCAAACATACAGATGTCATCTGAGGTATGTACATACCAAAGATTTTCTAACAGGTATGCCTTATCACCCTTCCTTTAGAGAGAAGTGTGTAATTTAAAAAATCTTAGCAGGGTTCACATATCATCTACCAATATAAATAAATTTGTAGTTACAGAGTTTTAAAAAAATATCTAGCTTTCATTTTTGTTGAAAGTAACCTTAGAAATGATCAGACTTACAAAAAGACTTAGATGAAGATAAAGTTAGAAAACCAGAGAGCTTATTATAACAAAGGGCGAGTGCGGTTGAGACTAGATGGACTCCAGGGTTACTTTACCAATATTTTACTGAAGGCAAATAAACAGCAAGGAGACATTTAGGGCTTATTAGAGCTGGTAAGACAAAAAAGGACTGTATCCTTAAAGAACTTTCATAGCATCTGCGTTTATACATATATAAAGGGATTGTGGAGAAAAGAAATGGTTCTCTAATGTTATAATACAAACTTTCCTAACAGCACTTGGAATCTATTTATAAAACTAGCTAAGACCAGGGTCCAAGTGACTCTACCCAAAATTTAAAGAAGGTTAGAAAAACCCCAAATGATTCCTTCTGAATATGAACTACCTCACACTAATAAATCTAATTTGGTGAACAATATTACTTGCCCAGAAATTCAAATAGGCAATTAGTTCTGATTTCATTGGGATATTTTTAATATGGCTTATCCAAGGCTTAGTTAATACTATAAGCAGGTAAACACTGGGAATAAGCATAAACTACCACTAAAGATAACTTCTTAATTATTTCATCACAGAGGTAATATAATAACATAGTAGATAATATATCATTACCAAAACACTATTTTTCTAGGTACTGCTCATTTTAAACTTAACATTACCTCATGGGTATAGGTTCCCTTCTTTTCTAATATCAGCAAATAGGCTTTTGGGGATAAAGAGATTAAACCAAAACAATTTTATAATTGTTTTGCAAATAGCTTCAAAGGTATTGCCTTAAAAAATATATTCTCTTGATCTCTGTCCATATAACACCATCAATGCCACTACTTCATGACTCTGAGTTAGGTGGCATTTATGCAATGAAACAGGATTTTTTAGGAGTATTTATATCCTCCTCCTGTGCTTTTAAACCAATCTTAGTTTTAATTATATTTTATGTACATACCTTAAGAAAATAATAAACAAAATCTTGTTATAATTCAGCATTTTCCTAATAAATGAAAAATCTTCTGTTTTTTAAAAAAATGTATAGTTTCAAACACGTACAAAAGGAGAAAGACGAGTATAATGAAACCCCATCTCCCAATTTCTACCACTATCAACATTGGCCTAATTACATTTTAATAGTTTTGACTTTAAATAGGTTTCAGAAAGTTAAAATATGCCCTTTAATTTACTCTTTTCAATAATCGCTGCTTTTATAAAATTTTTCATCACTTTATTTTTGTTATGCCTGTTTAAAATGTGCATTTCTATATTTCAATCTTAAAATTTCCCTAATTAAAAAATTTCTACAACTTACAAACAAGCCTTTATAATAAAGACTGTATTTATAACTTAACAGAATGAGTACCATCTTCTTAACATGTTACGTCAACAGGGCAAAGACGCTTAACTTTAACAAACTCTATGTATTACTATCTATCAAATTATATACGCACTAGCTGTTTCCAACGCCATCACCATCTGGAGACCGGGTATAAGTAATCTTGAACTCTATATCAGGTACAAGTTGCATAGCCCTACGATAAAACTTGATGGCTAAAAGAAGAAATAAAGCTAAATTAGCTATGACCACACATTTTTGTCATTTCCTTTGCTTACCCTTAATTGTGGTTTAATTAGGTAACTTTCTTCACAAACGGCCAAATTCTCTTTTTCTACATACAAAAGTAGTTCAGTAAACAAACTTATTTCCAAACCTTACTACTCAAAAATAATCTTTTTTCTAAAGCTAACTGTTATAGAAACAAGATGTTGCATTTTACTCTTATCTTTTAGCCCTTCCCATCTGTTTCCTCAGCCCCCTATGTGTTGTCAAAAGTAATCTTATGTGGTTGTCCTTCTTCCGACTTTGAAAATGCAATTGCTGTAGCCCCAACTACAGCAATTGGATTGGAATCTGTCCTCTCAATCCAACTTCTTTTAGTCCAGCTCCCACTTATTTAACCTTTAAAACCTATTTGTTTTTAAGTAAATCTCCTGGCCAGGGGGTGTAGAATTATAATATTTAATAATGTCTTCCATAGAGATACATCAATAGACCTTCGGGTTGTAGAGGCTGATTAGTTCTTTTTCCCTTAGATGAAATCTATTCAATTCAATATATTCTGCCATGTTTTTATTCTTGGGTGAATTACTGTACACTAAGTGGATATGAGAATCTTACAAACTAATGAAGACTATGTTGGGATATTAAATGGACCTTTTCAATATCTCAGAGTAAAAATATCACTAGATGAAATTTGAAAATAAATGCAATAATTCTGAAAATGTTATTTTGGGAGCATTTTCAAATAATCCAGGCACAAGTATCCTTCCTATGGTCCAATTATTAGCTTTACTATCACAAAATGAAAGCCCAAGTACAAACCTAATACAGTAAACAGGCATATCACTTCGTTTACTTATGCATTTCTATTGGGTTAATAAAACAAAGTTAAAGGGTATTCCTTTACATACAATGTAAATTAGAACTTAAAAACATATATACATTTCTCACTTTATCCTTAACATTCTCCTCTTCTGAAGTAATTTCACCTATAAAGGGAGCATATCCTATTTTTAAATCAATGACAATAGTCTTAAGATTTTAAAAATGACAAAATTAAATACAAAAATTTAAGTGTAGAAAAAGATTACTTTACTCATCCTACCAATATGATGATGTTCCCCAGCAATATTTTTTTGGAAAGAGACAGGTTATATAAAGATACAATTTTTATTTTTGATTTTTTTAAAAAACAATTTTGAATATAGGAAGACTGATGCTCTATGCAAAATATAGTCTAGTAAAAAAAAAAAATTTGGTCAGTACCGAGTTGTTACTCAGAAATATCATGACAATATGATCTTGGGCCCTGAGTTTTTACCTTCATAGAGAGCGCCATTTTGTTCTTCTTCTACTGCTTTCAGGAAGAGTTCTCGAGCCTATAAAAATAGATAGTGAAAAACAATTTTTGAAAATCGGTATTAAAAGAGTATGGATGGCGGAAAAATAGCCTTTTAAACTAATGGGGCTAGAACACTGGACATCTCTAGGTAAAATAACGAGCCTCAAACTAAACCTCGCATTTTACATAAAAACTAACTTGAACATGGACCATGGACTTAAATGTAAAACTTTTAGAAAAAAGGCAATCTTGGAGACCTAGGAGTAGGCAGCATACTTATAACTGACATCAAAGCAAATCTGTATAAACTGATAAATAGGAGCTCATCAAAATTAAAAACTTGCTCTACAAAATACCCTGCAAAGAGGATGAAAAGACAAGCTATAAACTCAAAGTATTTATAAGCCTCATGTTCAACAAAAGACATATATTTAGAATACAAAAAGAACTCTCAAAACTCAACAGTAAAAACATAAGCAATCTAATTAGAAAAAACAAACCGGTATTTCAGAGAGGATATAAGGATAGGAAATAGATAAAAAAAGATATTCAGCATCATTGGATATGTAAAGATGACAGCCTCTATGGAATAGGAAAATAATGAAAAGTAAGGTGGTGTGCTGTGCCCACTTCAGGTGAATAAGTACTAGGAAAGGCGTGAACAATTTGATAGCACTCAAATTTTTTCAGTGTGAGCAGTTTCAAAACTTTCCAGAATAAGGACATGACTAATGCATCATTATAAATTTAATTCAAAATATACAAAATATTGCATTATCACTCTTGAAAAGGTGTTGACATTTAAATAATTTTTTTCCCCTTTTGGGTTTCAGTAACAAATTCAGAGGCGTTAATCTTTTCAAGACCAAGTGAATCTCAGGGGTCTATAACTACCAAAGACATTTCCATGAAGATAGTGTACCTGTAGGAAAGAAGACCATAAGTAGTAGTGATATCATCCAAAGTACCTAGAAGTAGTAAGGAATGGATAAACTCATATATTGTCAAAATTTTTCTATGTACAATGTCCATAACACTTAACTTTTCTTCTTTTGCCAGTTCTTGCTTTCCTTTGGTATCCGCTGCTTTCAGGAAAGAGCCTCTTGCTACTCTGCAAGATCGAGTCTCTAAATTGCTAGAGCCTACACCTGGGGCAAGTTCAAACATCCACTGAGCTCGAAACATCTGAAGTTGTGCCTAAGGGGAGAAAAGTACTTTAGGACTCATCAAGGAAGAGTAGCTCAACTCTGGAACAATTTGTCAATAGGTCCAACATCAATTTCCATACATATCTACTTATTCTAAGACCAGAAAACACTGTCTTTTAAATTACAAAGTTAATACCATTACACACCTATTATCTCCTAAAATAATTCTGTTTAAAACTTTAAAGAAATCATGAAAATTTGCCTAAAATAAAATTGTCTATACAGGAAAAATCTAATGGTATAGGAACACCAAATTTTAATTAAAATCAAAAATATAAGCTATCACTTAGGGACTGAACTTAGATGCTTTATTTGTTTATTTGGAATACATCATCTAGTAGATGTTATCAGTGCTGCTAAAAATTCTGTACATGAGCCCAAAGTATTTCTTTCAATAGCCAGTCTCTTTTTAAAAAGGCCATATTTTTTCTAATACATATCATTTAAAAATTTTTAAATTTAGGAAAAGTGAAGTCCCTTGTGTGGTGGACTTTGCTGTGCTGCCCAGACCCCTCTTCAGGCATAAAGCACTTATTACTCCAACTGATGGGAGTGCCACCAAAAACAGCCCTCAGCTGTCAGCCCTTTCTGGTACTGCCTCAGCAAGATGATGCTACCTTCCCAGGTGATCCCTACCCAATGACTGAACAATGAAAGTGATGAGTGACAGAAAAAGCCAGGCTCTGAAAGGTTATTCCATCCTCAGAACTTACACGGAAGTAACTAAGACGGTCTACTAAGATTGCACAGCAGCTCAACTACCCTCAACTGCTGCTTCTCTCTCCCCCTTCCTTCCTCTTGGGATGACACAAGTTTTATATTTTGACTTGGTGTTGATACCAAGGCACTGCCTAAAAAACCTCCTACATAGTACTCTCTACCTCCAAGTCCACTTTCAGAAAACACAACCCAAAATGCCCTTCCTCTCACAGAAGGCCATTGACAATAGGATTGTGTATATTAGTCCTGGCTTTTTTAAAAAATGTATATATAAAATGTTTTGAAAATAATTTTTCTCTACATTCTGTACACTGCTTTGGTTTTGGTTCCCACCTTCCTACATCTAACACACATACCTCCAACCTAAAGAATCTTTAGCAGTACTCTTAATGTATACTAGATGACACATTCCAAATAAATATTATAAAGCTTATAAATTCGGTAAAATGCACTTAACTAATTACAATGAATATTTTTCTATGTCAATGCACAAAGATTTACCTTATCCTTTTAAATGGCTGCAGTGTATTTCATTGTATGAATGCATCATTACTTAACACAAGTAATGGACACTTAGGTTGTACTCCATTTTTCCATATAAACAATGCCATGATAAATATTTTTGTACATGTATATTTACTCACTTTCCCCATTACTTCCGTAGGATTAATTTCCTGAAAGTAGAATTGGGAATGTTTCTCATTTTGATCCATATTACTACTCTAACCTCCAAAAAAGTTGTAGCAATTTGTACTTTCACATACACTGCGTAAGTGCTCTCACAGCCCATATGGCAATGGGTATTATTCACTATTCTGACCTTTTAAAAACAATCTCATTGTAGATTTAATTTGTATTTTTTAAATTATTAATAAGGTGCATTACCTCTTCAAATGTTTAATAACCATTTATACTGTTTTTTTTTCCATTAGTTGTCCATTCATATTTTTCTACCTTGGGTTCCTCTTGCTAATTTATAAGGATGTCCTACACATACTGAGACAGACTATCAATGCTCTGCCCATATGTGGCAAGCAGCTTTTACAGCTGATTAAGTCTCTTGATTTATGATTTTGTTTTGCTATATATAGGTTTTAGACTTTTAGATCAAATCTGTCAATCTTTTTCTTTAAGGTGATGGGTTTTGAGTCATGCTTAAGCCTGGGTTCGAACACTTTAAACTCATACATGGAACTACATAGCAGCAATTATTGATGTATCTTTTTACAGAAAGAGATCCATAACATAGTTATAACTTAAGTATCCAATAATCTGGTATGAAAATAGTTAAATTCAATGCAAATAAGAACCTATAAATCTTCACAATTATGACCAATTTCTGCTTATGTATGGAAAGCAATGGAATAAGAATTAAATATACAATGAAGAAACATGCCTGCAGATCTGTTTCAGCTGGGCTTTCATTTTCATCATCATCTCCGGCTCTGACAGTATCAGAATGACAATCTTCCTCAGCTTCTGCCTGAGGAGATAAACCCAAAATAATGATCAGAAATATGCAAACACCAGTTTCTCTTTGAAATCTGAATCTCCAAATTGGCTACTTGCCCAATGAATTATATAGTTGCTTCTCTTTAGATATCTTCTTCATGGTAAATTTAATGATTCTAATCAGAAAAATGAGATACTTTAATTTTTTAATACTGTAAGATAAACAACTTCACTGGGCTCTAGTGTTTTGATAAATGGTTGAAAAGAACAACTTTGCTTCGGAAAATAACATGAAGTTGTGGTACAGAGTTCAGCAAATAATTTTTATTTCGAAGATCACTTAAAAGACCATATATAATCCATATATGATGTCCTTCCTTTTACACACTGGCATATTATTAATACGTGACTATGACGTTTGTCTATTAATATTTTAAATGTACTAGGAAAGCTCATAAATCAAAGACATGTAGTAGCGAATCTTTTTTGGAAAGAAGCTCTTTCTATTTGTTTTATAAATCCAGATTTTTATATATTGGATTAACTTAAAGTGGAACAAAACTGGCCTGGAATTACTGGGCACGGCTTGGAGCTTAATAGAGGTCTCAGGTCAGTTTCTTTTCATTTTATCCTTTTGCTCTCTATAAATGTTTGCTAAATTAAACTGAACTCTACCTTCCAGTGAAGATGAAATGTTGCCTAGGTCTAGTCTATTAGCTAACAGGCTAGACTTATTAGCAAAGGGGACTTGCTCAACACTTAATGTGTTCAGTCCTGTAAAGAAATGTGGCAATCAGGGAAATGCCCTTGAAGGTTAGAAATAAAAATAATAAAACTGATTTAATTTTACTTGTTCTAAAGATGTTAAGTTTCACAATTGCCAATTTTAGTTGTAATTTGTTTCCAGGGGAAAAAATGTATTAACACATACATTTGAATACAGCAGCCAGATACACTTGCACTATGCAAGGTAATCCTCACCTCCTCCTATCTTATCTCTGGCAACCAGACTTAAAGCCAGAGGTGCCTTTAAGACTTGAACTAGTTAACATATAGTAAAGTGCTTGACACTATAAAAGCTAAATCAGCAAAGAAAGAAATGAGAGAAGCTAACACTCTGATGAATTTCCAGAAAACTGGAAAACGTAAGCATTGACGTAATGTCAAATACATTTCTTTTTTTGAGTCTTTGAGCTGGGAGCTTTCCCAACTAAGACCTTCACTAAATAAGAAAATACATAATAAAGAACTTTATATTTATAGATCCCATTGAGAAGTGCATTTCTCTCTCTTCTCAAATTAGAGTCTGTTTTATTACTGTAAACTCTAAGTACAGCTAATATGAGGGGATCTGAGTTCTCTAAGGGCAGGGGTCCCCAACCCTGGGACCAGAGACTGGTAGCGGACCAGGCCGCACGACAGGAGATGAGCAGCGGGCAAGGCAAGAGAGTGAAGCTTCCTTTATCTGTATCTGCAGCTGCTCCCCAGTGCTAGCATTGCAGCTTCAGCTTCCCCTCACATCATCAGGCATTAGATTCTCACAGGAGCACTGGTCTCTAGTGCCAAAAAGGTTGGGGACTGCTGCTTTATAGTTTCCTCTTAGTAACAGCCTTCTACCTCTTGCCTAGTGGTCATACTAAACTGACTTCATTATAAGAGCTTCCCGTGCTCTCTTCAGTTCCATATGTTGCATATTCAGTTCCATATTGTTGCAGAGTGTACTATTTCTCTCCATTTCTTAGACTGCTTCTTCCTCAATTGCCTACTTCTATTCATCCTTCAAGATTCAGTTCCAGGGATCATCCCAGTAGGAAGCATGTTTTGATCTTTTTAATTGCCTCTTTCATTTTCCCCCATTATATTTGTGCTTGTATAACAGCACTTAAGACTTGTGCTGAGATTATTTTTGTCTCTTTGCTAGTTGGTGCACTGGGAACAAAGATCACATTTCAGTCATCTCTATAACCTTAGAAGGCCAAATACATTGCTTGATTCATAGTAAATGTCCATCCAGGCCTCAGCTGTCTCATTTGTAAGGAGATGGTATTGGATATTTTGACAGCATGATAAAAAGAAACTATCAAATTTGGAGTTTTATGACATTTTTCAATTCAAATACCACTTGAAATAAGTAGGTCCTCAGCTGTCACCCACTTTATTTTTCCTAACTGAGTCTGACCTAAACATCACCTTTTACTTGAGTAGCTCATGTCTTCATTTTACTCATGTTTCACACAATGGATCAGTGAAATTTAAAAAGTTAAGTGCTTAATTTTGAACAGAGAACTACTTCTACAACTTTAAGGGCATATTCAATTACTGCTTTTCCTATCCTCCAGATTAATTTAATAAATTCATTCAGCTATTCGTTTACTCAATAAATATCTGAATGTCTACTATAAGCTAATTATTTTCACCTTTGATTAATGCAACCCTAGCCAGAGATTAGTTTCTTAGATGGACAATTTATCTGAAGCCAAAGAAAGGCTGCATAAGGCAGACTACGTATTCCAGTATGCAATAGTCCTATGGAATTTGCGCTGTCAATTTCTGGAGCTTAGCTCAGTCTCTACATTTGGACCGCACTGACGCTTCTCTGGCCCTCACCGCTGTGAGGTGAGACATAATCCTAACCCCACACCGCCAGGACCGCCTGCCAACCAACATCCTACCCAGGGTAGTGATGCGCCACGGAGCAGGTGCGTCCTAAACCCATGGGCTCCTCAAGGGGCCCAAACTGCTTCCCAGAGAGGAAGCAATCAACAAGTGTCCGCTTGCCAAGGCACCCTCCCGATTTCAGATGCTGCGACCGCTCACCTCTATCTGTGCTCACTGCTTTTGATAAACTCCCTCGAGAGGGGCGGGACTGGTTCAACGTCCTTAGCGAGCCGAGAATAGACATTTTTCTCGGCCGTCCTGCAAACCCACTCTCTTCACATCGAGTCTCGGCTGGCGGTTTCACAGAAAGAAACCCCGGGGAGTGGTCAGAGCGGGCACTTGTACCGCTCCTTCTCAGGCCGGAGGTCCCATAATGGGTAGCAGCCGTGCAGCTCCCCCTCTTCCCAGCTCCCTCGGGGCTCCCCTCAGGCCTGGCCCCTCCTGCACACTGCACCCCGCCTCGCATAATTCCCCTGCCCCCTTAGGTTACCATGCTGGCGGGCCGGACGACCGCGGTCGAGGGGCTCTCCGCGCCCCCTCTGCACCGCCCCCCAAGGAGGTGTGCTGGGTGTTCGGGTGTCTACTCCTGTCTGCTGCAGCAGGGCTTAGCAGAGTTCTCGGTCGGAGAAGCGAACCAGGCAGCGGCAGTAACTGCGGGCCCGGCGTACGGCAGCCATCTTCGCGGGGCAGGGGGCCAGATCGGGGCGCGCTGGAGCGGCGGCCGGGGACACGGGGAGCGGAGGAATGCCTGCTGCCAGCGGAGGCCGAAGTCTACGAGAACCACACCGTCGGCCCTGCTAGAGACCCCGGACGCCGCCGCAGTGCTTCCCTCTCTGCTGCAGAAACCTGCGCCGGCGCACCGAGCATGCGCAGTCCC